CAGGGCGCGCCGGGCCTTGCAGGACCCGGGGCGGACGCGCGGGTGGAGGAGCAGCTCCGGGGTGAAGCGGCCCGGCCAGGCCGGCGGGGCCTGCTCAGTGGCGCCCCACGCTGGCCGTGAGGGTGAACTGCAGCCTCATGTGCCGTCGGAGCACTGCCAAGTCAAGACCCCAGAACTCATCACTTAGGGATCTATTTAGATATAATGCACCTAATCAAAAGCATTACATCGTCCCAAATAGCCCCCCGGCCTGGGGCTTGAACTCGGGGCCAGTGAGTCTTTTGCTCAAGGCGGGCGGCTCTGCCACGTGAGCTGCCAACCATTGCTATCACCAAAGGAAAAATGGCCGGGAATGGGCAACGTTTACTGATAAAATAGAACGTGGGAAGCAAAGAGAAAACCTGCATCCCGGTGAGTTCCGGGTGGACGTGTTCTGGGGCTCGCGAACAGGGTGACCCCGACCCGCTTGGGAGGCCGCTGGGCAGCGTGCAGCACCGTGGGGATGGCAGAGCTGCCCGTGAACGGGACTCGGGAGGGGAGGGTCAGCAGGTGCTGCGGCTGAGGGACTTCTTCCCCGGCCGGCTGGAGGATTGATGAGGTGGGCAGTGCAGAGCCCACGTGTAATCCCGGCTCTCACCAAGCCCCTGGAGCGCAGGGCGCGGGCGCACGCCAGGCGGGACGCGACCTCAGGGCGCCACCTGCTGGCCACATGCGTTACAGGCCCCCGCTGCACGCGCGTGCGCCGTGTGAAAGCCCGAGCAAGCCGCTCAGGGGCCTGTATTCATGTAGCTGTTGCCACTTGGCCTTACGTGACACACAGTTTGCAGATGCTTTGCAAAGGACGCTCTCACTTGACGCCGGGGTTTGAACTCGGGTCCTCGTGCTCTTGGCATTAGCCCAGGGCTACCCCTCGAGAGCCACAGCTCCCCTTGTGGCTTTTTGGTGGCTCATTGGAGAGAGGAGTCTCAGACATTCCTGCCCGGGCTGGCTGTGAACCGCCATCCTCAGATCTCCGCCTCGTGAGCCGCTGGGATGACAGGCGGCAGCCACAGTGTCCAGCCCCTATTTTCTAGCTTCAAGGATGGGATGAGACGCGGCAGGCAGCCCGCGTGCAGCGCTGCAGTCTGCCGGTCGCGCTGCGCAGCAAGGCGTGAACTCGGGGCCGTAGCTCTGCACTCGGGGCTCCGCTCTACTGCTCAGGCCGCAGCTGTGTGTGCTGGCTAACGGGATTGAACCCGCCTGGCAAAGGCAGCTGGCTGGGAAGGTCCCGGATCTCCATCTGTGAAGTCCGGGCGTGCGGTGACACTGGGGGGGGTGTCAGGGGTGGGGGGACAAACACGCACGGGAACAGTCCAGTCGGGCTGTCTATGGAGGGCCAGCTGACTGCGCCAGGCCTGACCGCCCGCGTCCCTGCAGAGACCTCCCGTCCGGTTCGCTGACGCCCGACGACAGCAAGGCCGAGCCCGGGGGCCAGGACGCCGAGATCTGCTTGCTCAAGTCCGGGGAGCTCATGTAGGTGGCGCGCGCCAGGCCGGGCCTTGAACTCGGGACCTCGATGCTGTCCCTGAGCTTTTCCGCGCCAGGCTGGTGACAGTTGCGGGGAGCTGGGTCTCGGCTCGTCTGCCTGGGCTGGCGGGCTCTGCCGGGGGGAGGGGGG